AGCCGCCGGCATTTTTGACAACAAACTAGACGACGAGTGGCCCGAAAACATTTTTCATCACGTAGGAAGTCAGAGTGTGAGTTAAGTGTTCAGTGTGAAGTGTTAAGTCGAGTGAGTTGAGGCAGCGTGTGGGTCTCTGTGTGTGTGTATCTATGTCTGTGTGTGTATGAGTCTCTGTCTGTGACTCCGAGTAAGTTGAGGCAGTGCGTGGGTCTCTGTGTGTGTGTGTCAACCTTTTAAGAGAGCCGGGTGGTCGGGAGACATGACTCAGCTGCAGGGGGGCCAGAGCAGCTGCGAGAGATGACTCAGCCGCGAGAGATGACTCATCCGCGTACTAAAGTTGCACTGCAAAGTCACCAGTTCTCAGCTTCCAGCTCCCCAGATACTCCGCGTACTAAAGTTGTACTACAAAGTCGCCAGTTCTCATCTTCCAGTTCCCCAGATACTCCGCGTACTAAAGTTGTACGACAAAGTCGCCAGTTCTCATTTTCCAGCTCTCCAGATACTCCGCGTACTAAAGTTGTACTACAAAGTCGCCAGTTCTCAGGTTCCAGCTCCACAGACTGCTCCACGTACTACAGTTGTACTACAAAGTCACCAGTTCTCATCTTCCAGCTCCCCATATGCTCCGCGTACTAAAGTTGTACTACAACTTCGCCAGTTCTCATCTTCCAGCTCCCCAGATACTCCGCGTACTAAAGTTGCACTACAAAGTCGCCAGTTCCCAGCTTCCAGCTCCACAGATTGCTCCGTGTACTAAAGTTGTACTAGAAAGTTGCCAGTTCTCATCTTCCAGCTCCCCAGAGACTCCGCGTGCTCAAGTTGTACTACAAAGTCGCCAGTTCCCAGCTTCCAGCTCCACAGATTACTCCGCGTACTAAAGTTGCACTACAAAGTCGCCAGTTCTCATCTTCCAGCTCCCGAGATACTCCGCGTACTAAAGTTGTACTACAAAGTCGCCAGTTCTCATCTTCCAGCTCCCCAGATACTCCGCGTACTAAAGTTGTACTACAAAGTCGCCAGTTCTCAGCTTCCAGCTCCACAGATTGCTCCGTGTACTAAAGTTGTACTACAAAGTCGCCAGTTCTCATCTTCCAGCTCCCCAGATACTCCGCT